ACTTCCACTGGGGCTTCACATATGGAAATTGCCCAAAAAAGAGGAGCAAGAGAGCACCCCGATTGCTTTCTGCAGCAAGACTCCACTCACCTGCAGCACCACAGGTCTCTCTGGATTTGCTCCACAGGGGATTCACACTAGATTAAAGCACTGTGCTTCCCCAGCAGCCTTAAGGGCTCATCAGAACTATTTGCACGTGCTCTCCCACACACCAAATTCTCCATGACAAGATATTTATACTGCATAAATCCTTTCTTCACCTAATCTACCATTAGATGGCAGCAGCTGAATACGGAATATGGGCATGGAGCTCTACAAGGGCTTTTTATCCCACGGTTTGTACTCCAGGGATTTCAAGCTTTTTGGTTCTAGGTTAATGAATCAAATCTAGCCCAAGTCAGGAGGAGTCAAAGATCTTCACTATCCAACAGCTGCTCAGCACCCTTTGCAAGAGCAATTTGCAGGTTTCTGTTTCTGATCTTGTGGACAAGTGCCCATCTCATCCCTGGCACTAACTGGCACCCCTGCTTGTCATATTAACAAAGAGGGCAAAGATGCTTCAGAAAGATGAAATTTTCCTTCCTGCTCTCTAGATGGTTTGACAAAGCTCCGCGCTCAGCTCTGTGCAAAAGCCAGAACTCGATAATGAGGCCAGAAGAACGCGCTGGCCCCGTTCCTCCTTTGAACAAATAACTGCCCAAAATGATCTCATTCCGGACAGGAGGGTGACAGTTGGGGTGTTTCAGCAGATAAAATTAATTTGGTATTAATTCTGGGATCTGACATTCAGATAGACTAGCGATAGCACAATGAAATACTCATAACATATATGTTATTTACAGCCTCTGTAACTGCAGGGACAAACTCCATCCAGAACTGCCTTACAAGGTGACCTAATTTGGAAGAGAAAACAGACACAGCATTTTCTCACATTAGAAGATAGATCTCTGTGACTCCTTCCCTTAGAATTTTAAAACCCTGTGAGGGACTGGAGCAACTGATACTCTCCAGAGAAACCCATGAGATAAGAAATGAGCCGAGCAAGCATGTGATTGTGATAGAGTTCAAGCCCGTGTGCGTATCACTTAGCTCGTTCTGCCTAGGATTGGAGAAGCATGTCACTACGTAAATCCCTCCGGGCAGCTAGGCACCTCTCCAATGCACAGATTTCCCTTGCTGCTAATGAATCAGCCTCTTTTCCTAACTTACCTCCAAAGCTCGTTTACTTGGAAACCACAGGGGCTCAGGGAACAGGCTCTCTCTATGCATAACAATGACCTATTTTAGAGCGTTTTCCTCATGTGGTCATAGAGAAGGGGCAACAAGCGCGAGCGTTTCTGTCCAAGAGGCATTTCCTGGAATTGGTCCCAAACAACGTCGAGCCATTTCCATTTTGAGACCTGACATTTCATGGAGCCAATGCCTCCACACAACAGAAAGTGCCAGGACGAGCCGGGGACGGAATCCAGCTGCCTCATTCCAAGGACGCGCACCCCGGCCCCT